TGAAATCTCCAGAAAGTGTCGAGCTTCAAGCGAATTAAAAATTGACCCGTGCGAATGAAGAAGCTCCGCGAATTTTATGAAGCGACCTAAGCTATCGTATTTATTGATGGCTTGATGGAGGAGACGTCAAGTGTAAAAGAAATGATTTTTTTATTGTTAAAATGTGTAAATATTCTGTAAAATATTCAGAAACATGGATGCGATTTTTCAATCATTTCAGCGACTTCCGCATTTATTTCCGCCTACGAGTAAAAGGCAGAAAAGAAAAGATGGTTTTTAGTTATCAAGTCGTAAGTATTGTTAAATATATTATAATAATATAAGTATATAAAAGTATGAGATTTTCGTACAGAAATGTAGTTCTCTCATTTCAAGTCTTGTTACAAATTCAAAATTAAATATTAACTAACTTAACTTCCTTTAAGCGTAACGTATAATATATAATAAATTAAATATAATATTTGAATTAATTTCAACATTGCATCACGCTACATCGCTCTATTTTTAATAATTCGAGAACTGCGTTTAAGTTTTCAAGCATTCGAGCGTCACTCGCGCGCTTTAAATATTCTCGGAATTAATTCTCGCATTGTTACAAAGTTATCGGCGCCTTTTTACAATTGATCCAAGTCGCAAACGATATCGTTCACGATACGTTGACGCAGCGGGAGCGATCACGCGCTCACAAGAATGCCTCGATGGGGACCGGTGTAACTTTATGCACATTAAAAAGCGGGCCTTCCTACTCGGTAAGCACATGTTTCCGAAAATAACTGGCGAATATTAATAGACGCGTTAGATCAACGGCGGAGGAGACGGAGAAGCGTGCGCGTGGAGAGAGCCGCGATATTTTGGAGCGCACCATGATCCTATAGCTATTCCACGCCGCGATGCGCACTAAATTCGGTTACGGACGGAATATAAAGGGGATTGTACGATTATATCGACGAAACGGGAGAACTTCCTCGATTTTTTTCCCTGCAGGGCAACCCGGGGCGATTAGGGACAACCGCGAAATGCACTTTGTATATATTTACAGAAAATAATAAAACTCGAAAAGGAACCATTTCTTTGTAATATTTTTGTCGTAAAATTTCGGATTTCGGCATGTTTTATTACGTAATCATTTTGAAAAATTTAAGACTAAAGATCGATTTACCTCACGCTGCAGTTATTGTATCATTCAAAGTGAAATGTTTCGTTACATCTCCTTTTAATCCCCTTAAGGGGATGCAGTAGTGATTCTGCACTTTTGCACCTTTCTAACCTAGAAACTATCAGTTCGCAGAAACATTTGTGTAATATACAAATTAAAGGGCTCACGTGTACAGATCGAAAGCAGCTTACTATTCCGGCCAAATGAAAGAACAATATGGCATCATTGAAACTAAGTTTGTAAGTCTAATAAGAAATAATAGTGAGCAACACATACATACAGTACATGTAGTATGTGTGTTGCTCACTATTATTTCTTATTAGACTTACAAACTTAGTTTCAATGATGCCATATTGTTCTT